CGGAAGTGGCGCTGTGGCTCAAGTGGTAGAGTGCTAGCCTTGAGCTGAAGAGCTGAGGGACAGTGCCCAGGCCCAGAGTTCAGGCCCCACGACCAGACCCAAAAACAAAATCAAAAAACAGAAAATGCTATGAGACTCTTGTTTCTAAAATAATCCATAAAAAGCTGGGCTAGAGGTGTGACTCAAGTGATACTGAGTCAGCAGACCAAGTAGGCTAAGCAAACATAAGGCTGAGTTCAAATCCTGGTACTGCCACTCCCCATCCCCCCCAAAAGAACTGTGCCCCAGGTGGGCTAGAGTATAAATGTGAGACCTTATCTGAAAAATAACTAAAACAAAAGGAATACCCTCGAGCCCCCATCCCCCCCGCCCAAAAAAAATCCAAAAAAACCCAACTGAGTTCAAGCTGTAGTATCAACAAAAGGAAAGAGAATAAGATTGGGAAGAGGAAGAAAAAAGGGAGAAAAGGAAGAAAAAAATAAGAGGAAGAGGTTTTATTTGTACTTTTATCTTACATCCCCATAACTTGTGGGACCTAAAAGTACAAATAAAATCTTCTATATCATAAGTCTAAATATGCTAAGTTACAAGTAAATTGAATGAAGTGCTAAACAAATAATTTCAGAGCTGGGTGCTGGTGGCTCACACCTGTAATCCTAGCTACCCAGGAGGCTGAGATCTGAGAATCATGGTTCAAAACCAGCCCAGGCAGGAAAGTCCGTGAGACTCTTATCTCCAATAAATCACTAGAAAACTGGAAGTGGTGCTATGGCTCAAGTGATACAGAGCTTGCCTTGAGCTGAAGAGTGCAGGGACAGCACCCAAGCCCAGAGTTCAAGCCCTACGACTGATCAAAAAAGAAAAAGAAAAAAAAGGAAAAAAAAAGACCCCCCCCAAAAAAAACAACAACAAATAATTTCAGGTATCTAATAATACATGCAAACATGCAGATGTAAGCTCTGTCTACACTGTTTCCTGTGAAACTTGATAGCACCTAGAAAACAGTAAAAGAGGTCTTTGCCTTGGTTCCATATTTTATTTTTTTAATTGTGAAAATACTGTACAGAGGGTTTACAATTACATGGGCAAGATAATGAGTACATATTTTAGAAAATTCTGCTCTGCTTCTTCTTCAGCTGTATCCTTTCCAGTGAGGTCAGGTTTTTTTTTTTGGTGGCAGTACTGAGGCTTGTATTCAGGGTGTGGGTACTGTTTCTTAGCTTTTTCAACCAAGGCTAATGTTCTACCACTTGAACCACACTTCCACTTGGTTAATTAGAGATAAGAGTCTCTGGGACTTTCCCGATTGGGCTGGTCTTGAACTAGGATCCTCAGATCTTAGCTTCCTAAATAAAGATTACAAGTACAAGCACCAGATCCTCCCCCCACTTCCCACCTTCTTTCTTTCTATGCTGGTACTTGCGCTTCAATTCAGGGCCTGGTCCCTTAGTTTTTTTGCTCAGGGTTGGTACTCTACCATTTGAGCCACACCTCCACTTTGGCTTTTCACTGGTTACTTAGAGGTAAGAGTCTCATAGTCTTCCTTGCCCGGGCTGGCTATAAGCCTCAATCCTCAGATCTCAGCCTCCTGAGTAGCTAGGATTACAGCTATGAGCCACTGACTCTGTGGCTGAGGTCAAGGCCTTCAAGTGAAGGACCAAAGGGAGATGAGAAGCAATTGCCTGTAACTTTCCTCAGCTCTCATGTCTCTGTTAAAGTGGCCCTGAGCCCACTTCCTAAGTACCTTTTAGGGAATTTTCTATAGGTCCATTTCTCCCAGATGTAAATCATGTGGTATGTGTGAATCCCATGGCTCATATTTGCTAAGCTTAAGAGGGTATTTACATATATGAGAACAACCATTGTTACTGTTTTTGTTATTATCAAGAGAAAATGGAGTAAGTAAAAGAAAGTGAGAAGAGGGCTGGGAATGTGGCTTAGTAATAGAGTGCTTGCGTAGCATGCATGAAGCCCTGGGTTCGATTCCTTAGTATCACATAAACATAAAAGCTGGAAGTGGCGCTGTGGCTCAAGTGGTAGAGTACTAGCCCTGAGCAGAGTCTCAGGGATAGTGCCCAGGCCATGATTCCAAGCCACAGGACTGGGGGGGGGGCAGGGGGAAGTGAGACTATTCTGGGAATAAAAATTATAGACGTTTCATATGATGGAAAATGGTTAATAATGAATTGCCTTTGTAGTAGGTCTAAATATTCAAATTTCTTGAAAAGCCAAATAGGATATTCTGGTGAAGTCCATTTGATCTTAGAAAACTAATTCTAGACTGTAAATGGGAAGAGTACAAAGTAGAGGAACAAACTGAAAATGAAAATACTGTCATAAGTAAGAAATAAAAAGGATTTTTTGCCAGGTGCTAGTGGCTCACATTTGTTATCCTAGCTACTCAGGATGCTAAGATCTAAGGATCGTGGTTCAAAGCCAATCTGTGCTGGATAATATATGAGACTCTTATTTCCAATTAACTGCCAGAAAACTGAAGTTTTTACTTCATTGTTACTCAACTGGTAGAATGCTCACCTTGTTTTGAAGAGTTCAGGGAGAGTGCCCAGACCCTGAGTTCAAGCCCCATGACCACCACTACCACCACCACCAATAAGTGCTCTATCACTTTAAGCTACTGGGCCACTTCTGGTTTTTGAGTGGTAAATTGAAGATAAGAGTCTCAAAGGGAGTTTTCTGCCCACAATGGTTTCCATCTGTGATCCTCGGATCTCACCCTCCTGAGAAGCTAGGGTTACAAGTGTGAGCCACCGGTGCGGGCTTAAAAAAATACTTTTCTTTTATTTTTTGAGACATGGTCTTACTATTAGCTCGAGCCAGCTTTAAACTTACAATCTTGAGTGTTGAGGATTACAGGCTTACACCATCACAGTAGAGTAGACTTTGTTTTGCAAACTTTTGCAGGGTTAGATGTGTAGGTGACAGGAAGAATTCTATTTACATTTTACTTTTTTATGGTATATATTTAACAACTGGTAACACATAATAGCCAATAATTACTATGATTTAAAACTATGATTAAAAATAAACTATTCAGAAAAAAAAGGGGAGAATGTTTGGTGCTGGCATATGGGAATTTTTTTTGGTGGAGACAGATAATAATCAATGGAACTTGAAAACAATGCTTTACACATACAGTTACAGTGGAAAAAGCAAGGAGTTTTTCCAGCAAAGCTAGCCAGTATCAAAGAAATTGAAATGGAATTGATCTTATTTTGCAGAGCATTCCATGCCAGAATTAGGAATAACTGTATTGAAGGGAGATGGGACTTTCAGCTCAATTCAGTCAGATATCCAAAGTTGAAATTTGTTTCTTTAGGAGTCAGAGTGCTCTGTGTATCTGAAGTCTCTGGAGAGGAAACCAATGTAAAAGATGAAAAGTGAAGTGTTCAATATTTCTCCACATTTGGGACCTTGTGATCATAAATGGACAAGTCAGCTGTCCAGACCAGGGCATGACATGATGAAACTAGTAGAAATGATCTACTGAATACAGGATTACAAAAGTGTTCTAACTCTAGCTTATTCTAGAGCTTTCTTGAACTGCAACAGAGATAAAAATTTACTCAATTATTCATTCATTCATTCTTTTTTGAGCATATAATACTATTATTAAGGCAATTGGTGGGACAGGGAGGTCTTTTCAGCTATGGTAGGATTAGGAGAGAAGCCTTTCAGCAGAGGTCATTTTAACAGGGTCCTGAATGAAGTGAGGGTATGAAGTCACACAAAAATTATCAAGTTTCTTGGGACCCTCAGAGGATGGGAACTCCTGCTGGAAAACACAGTAGCTCCTAGTAGGGCATTACCACTCAGGCTTTCTATGGAAGAAAGGTTGCTTTTACATCCTAGTAAATGAATCTTGGAAGAAATATATTCCCCTTCCTTTGGACTTTCCCTGCTAGATGAATATGACTAGATACAGCCAGAGAATGACACTCATGATTCCCTACATGCATTGAAAGGATTGGTTGGACTTCAGATAACCTGCCATGAACACAGCTCCTTACTTTACTAAGAAAACCCATGCCTGGCCCCTTCAACCTGTATGGGGACAAGCAGATGGGTGTATTGCAATGTCCAAACAGATGTTGGATGAACCATCACATAGGTTCATTTTGTATCTTATAGGGGAGGGAAGCAAAAATTGGCTGTGGTGGACAAATAAAAACAACTCTTGAACTCCTTAAAAAAAAATCAGAAAGCATTTGTTGGGGGAGAGGGAATATCAAGACCAAAGGAACAGTATGAAAATAGGTATAGAATACAGGAGTATGAAAGACTGAGTGTGAGATAAGAATCCATTATACTTGGAGCAGGAAACTGACATGACTTCCATGTGGCTACTGTGTCCAGTAATAAACAATAACAATTATGAAAACAACAATTATGATAAATAGCCAGTGCTACATAAAGTACTTAAAGTACTTACCATTAGGTCGAACTAGAAGCACAAGTTCTCCAGAATGTCTCTCACAGCTAGCTTTAATAAACAGGACAACTTGATCATGGGTATGTTCTGCAATGTCCCTACCATTAATCAGTACAACTTGGTCCCCTTCATTCAATCGAGGGACACAGAGGTCTGCCTGTAATGTAATGCAGACAAGATTTCAGATTTGCATGTGGTTTTTCAAAGAATTGGGGTATGGTTTTTAGCTGACTCTATAGAAGGAGAAGTAAAACTACATGTGAAAAAAGCATCTAGTCATTTATTCTAAAAGCAGAAATCTAGTTTTCTCATGAAGATTGCATTCCTTTCCTTTCTTCAACAAATTCTTTTATGATGATCTAATATTTGCTTAAAGATACAGGTAAGACTGATTTCAAGGTGTATACATATAGGCAGCCCTAAATTTCTATTATGTATATATATATATATATACACATACATATATATATCTATAAAATTTTAGTAGTCATGGCATAAATAACACTAGTTCCCCCAAAACATGGCTCAAATTCTAGTTATTATGGTGTACTAACTGTGAATGTGCATAAGTGCAAACTTTCTTGCTGCTCACTTTTCAGCAAAAAAAAAAAAAAAAAAAAAAGACACATGGTAGAATGAATGACCAATCCCTTGTCAGTGCACATCTGTCATTCAATTCATGGCCAGAAAGAAAAACATACAGTTATCTTCTCCTTTTTTTTCAACGGTTATCCAGCACAAAAATGGGTAAATGAAAAAAAAGGGGAGGGGAGGGGAAACTGACCAAAAAAGATGAAAACAACACAGATACAAATCATGACTGACCATGGAAGTAAAATCTGAATGAAGCATAAAATTATAGAAGAGCTATATGATCATGGAAATGTGGATACTACTGAGATTTGAGAGACACTAGATACACAGCCAAAGGAATTCTTGGAGTGATTTTCACAACAGTAGAAGTTCCCAGGAGAAAATGTTAAAAACAGATTCAAACCGAGAGATGAACATGACAATATAAAATGATGCTTACTGAAAGAAACTCCAAGAAATGGAAACAAGAAATTTTTTATTTTACTTTTTGTGGTGTTTATTTTTCCCTTTTATGTTGTTGTTTTTGATTTCTGCACCTTTTGTCTTTTTTTTTTGTTTGTTTTTGAGGGGTCCGGTCGTGGGGCCTGAACTCTGGGCCTGGGCGCTGTCCCTCAGCTCTTCAGCTCAAGGCTAGCGCTCTACCACTTGAGCCACAGTGCCAC